CCCGCAGTCTCATTTTTCTGCAATCTTATTTTTCTGCAGTCTCATTTTTTCTGCAGTCTCATTTTTCCTGCAGTATCATTTTTCTGCAGTTTCATTTTTCCCGCAGTCTCATTTTTCTGCAATCTTATTTTTCTGCAGTCTCATTTTTTCTGCAGTCTCATTCTTCTACAGCCTCATTTTTCTGCAGTCTCATTTTTCTGCAGTCTCAACCTTTCTGCAGTCTCATACTTTCTACAGTCTCATTTTTCTGCAGTCTCACTTTTTCCACAGTCTCATTTTTCTCCAGTCTCATTCTTCTACAGCCTCATCCTTTCTGCAGTCTCATTTTTTTCTGCAGTCTCATTCTTCTACAGCCTCATTTTTCTGAAGTCTCATCCTTTCTGCAGTCTCATTCTTTCTGCAGTCTCATTTTTCCCGCAGTCTCATTTTCCCACAGTCTCAGCCTTTCTGCAGTCTCATTTTTCTACAGCCTCATTTTTTCTGCAGTCTCATTCTTTCTGCAGTCTCATTCTTTCTGCAGTCTCGTTTTTTCTGCAGTCTCATTCTTTCTGCAGTCTCGTTCTTTCTGCAGTTTCATTCTTTCTGCAGTCTCATTTTTCTGCAGTCTCATTTTTCTGCAGTCTCATCCTTTTAGGCAGTCTCATTTTTTCTGCAGTCTCGTTTTTTCTCCAGTCTCATTCTTCTACAGTCTCATCCTTTCTGCAGTCTCATTTTTTCTGCAGTCTCGTTTTTTCTCCAGTCTCATTCTTCTACAGCCTCATTCTTTGTGCAGTCTCATTTTTTCTGCAATCTCATTCTTCTGCAGCCTTGTTTTTTCTGAAGTCTCTTCCTTTCTGCAGTCTCGTTTTTTCTGCAGTCTCATTCTTTCTGCAGTCTCGTTCTTCTACAGACTCATTTTTCTGCAGTCTCATCCTTTCTGCAGTCTCATTTTTTCCGCAGTCTCGTTTTTCTACAGCCTCATTTTTCTGCAGTCTCATTTTTTCTGTAGTCTCATTTCTCTGCAGTCTCAGTTTTTTTCTGTCATGTGGTGGACCAGACTTAAACAAGGACAAAGGTGTTGAAAAATGGAAAATAAATTAATTTAATAAGGTCAAAAAATACTTAACAAGAGTAAAAAAATCCATTGAAAAATGAATAAAATGATAAATAACAGATTTGGGCCCAACTCAACTGAGGTCAACTGAACAATAACTAAACACAAAAAAACTGACCTGCAGACAAAGAACAAGGACTGCTTAAATAGAGGTGGATTAACCTAAATTTGCCACATGAGGGAGGTATAACAGAGCATTTGAAAATAAATACAAATTTAGCAAAAAACCAGCAAACAAAATAAAAGCCAAAATAACTTTTACTTAGCACAAATAATAATAAGTGAATATTAAAGTGCCTTACAAATACATAACTAAAGGTCAACTTTAAAGTGTAACTTACCCCCCCTGTGAAAAGATAACTCCGCCCCAAGGCGAAATTTGAAAAATGCATCAAAGTGGGTAGGGGAGGGGGTGTGGGTAGAGGAAGGGGGGTTAGAGAGCGGAGGTGTGGCCAGGACGAGAGAACGTGACAGGCAGCTAGCATTAGCATAATTGNGATTGAATAAAAAAATTTTCTGAACATCTTTGAATTATCTAACTCCATCAAAGCAACACCAAAGTTTTCTCTGCCTATAACCCTGAGACACAGACACAGCAACCTTCATGAAACCTGTGAATACTCTCACTGGGTTTTGTTCAAGTCAGGGAGAAAATAAAAACCACAAAACAGAACAGTTTAAAGCTCACAACTCCACACTCTCCAGCTTTGAATTTAGAAAGCTATCATGAAAGGAAGTGAAACATCAGATCTGAGTTTGATTAGGAAACAACRACCTGTATTTTTCAGCCACGGCAGCTTCAGGATCAGCTGTCAGTCCAGATCTTTCTGTGGACAAAGAAGATTTTCATTAAGAGGAAGTGATGAGAAAATCCTCTACATTAAAGTTTTAGGATTTATCCCAATGTTGGCTATCAAACCAAATAATCTTAATTAGGGTTGCACGATATATCGGTATTCATATCGGTATCGGCCGATATTGGTAATTTTTTAGAATATCGGTATCGGTCCGATATGTAAAACTGGGCCGATATTAACATCTGATATTGATTTCCCACTTTTTATCTTTAGTTTCTRTTTTGGGAGGGGAGATGKTTGGTTGAGCAGCATCTGTTTGATCATGATAGTGATGTTGATGCTGCACAGCCAGGAATAACTGAAGCAGAGAGCCATGTCAGAGGTCTGGTCATTTAATTACAGTATCAAAACAGACCCAAGTGTGTTTGTGTCTGTATGTATGATATATATTTCGTGTTTTATTTAGTATCGATAAATATTGGTTATCGGCCATAACAGCAATAATAACGRCTGAAATTTTCATATCGGTGCATCCCTAATTTTAATATTGATTGTTGAATTTGTTAGCATCATGTATTAATTAAAAAGTACTGGTGTGTGTTTCTGTTTTGTAGGTTTGTCCCCATGACAGCCAAGCGTGGACTGATAACTGATTCCTTTAAGGTGGTGAAAAAAACCAGGAGAGGAGGAAAACGGGGGAAGAGCCCCACACCTCCTGCACCAGAGATAGGTGAGGAGGTGCACCATGGTTTATCCTTCCTTCCTTCCTTCCTTCCTTCCTTCCTTCCTTCCTCCCGCCAGCCAGCCTATCTCTGTATCTCTAAAAGAGCGTCTAGCTACCCTGCAAAGAAAACTCATTTTTACTGCTCGTATCTGCAGTCTCGTTCTTTCCACAGCCTCTTTCTTTCTGCAGTCTCATTTTTTCCGCAATTTCATTTTTTCTGCAGTCTCATTCTTCTACAGCCTCATTTTTTCTGCAGTCTCATTCTTCTACAGCCTCAT